AGGGTGTCCCACCATGGAAGAGGCGGGCTCAGCCGGTACCCCAAGAACTCCATGTTGCAGAGCTGGGACCCCATTAGTGTGAGGGTCCCGTGCAGCAGCAGTGGCCTGGGGCAGAGACAAGGGACCCAGCACACAGCTGGCTGCCCACAAAGGGCACTGCGGGGCACTGGGGGCTGGCTGGTTTGGGCCCAGCAGCTTGGCCCGTGGCCTGGGCTCGTCCTGCTTCCCAAGGGCCTTGAACTTGCCACTGTCCCCCTCCCAGGTCCGCACGGGCTGTGGCCAGGTCCCTGTGCCTGTGCTGAGAGGAGGACAAGAGAGGCTGCCCAGAGGGGGTGGCGCCCCTCCCCCAGAAAGGCGCGCCCCCAGCGCAGCGTACAGAGCGCCCCGCCGGATCTGACCCCGGAGGACAGCAGCCTCAGTGCCGAGATCCGCGGCGTGTGGACACCCGGGCGGCCGCTCCCGACCTCCAGGGTGGCGGCCTTGCTCCCGGGATACCCCCGGGCTGCCCCTGGTTCTGCCCGGAGCCCGACTCAAGGCCACACCCAGGGGCAGGGGCTCCCCTCCCCCCAGCCCCTGCTCTCAGCGCCCGGGGACCTGCGGGCGCGGCGGGGCTGCGGCTCAGCGGCCGCCGCCTTGGAGCGCGACGCGAACCGATGCTGCTGCAAAAATTTAAAAGGTTTTAAAAGGACATTTATTTGAAAGGCGGAGCGGCAGAGGGGGGAGGGCTTCCTCGCCCGGCCCCACCCCGTACGCCCAGCCTCCCACGGGGGGCAGGAGCCCCGCGCCCGGCCGGTCCCCGCGGCTTCCCCGGCCTCTGCAGGGGGCTGGGTGGGTGCGCAGCCCAGGGCCCACGCGCGAACCTCGCACAAGGCAGTGTGGGGGAGACCGCAGGCTGGGTCCGATTCTGAACGAGGGCTCTTCCGGGAAGCTCCGGTTTGCGCCCGCGCGTTCCTCCACGAGGCCCCGCACCCGCGCGGTCAGGATTCACTTGTGTCCCGGCGCCCGCAGCCCGCGTGAGGGGAGCACCGGCGGGGAGCTCGGGCGCGGCTCCAGCTCCACGCGCGCCCCCGCGTCCGGGCCTGAGCGTCCGTGACCCGCATGGGCGCCGCGGGCATCTCGGTCACCGCGTCCCGCGGGCAGCGTGCGGGGGCTGCCCCGCGGACGGGCGGGGGCGCCGACGCTTCGCAGGCGCGGGTGACTGGCGGCGGGGGTCGGCGCGGGGACGGGGGCGGGGCCCGACGGGGCATGGGGGGGCTGCGTTCCTCGCCGTCGGGGGCAGGGACGGAGCGGGACGCCCTCCATTCCCCGGCAGGCTCCCCGAAAGGCGGCTTTCACGCACAGCCTCGCGGGCGCCGTCGGTCACGCAGCCGCCCCCATGCCCGGTGCCGTGGCCGCCTGGCTCGGCTTCCCTTTGGACCGAGCTGCTGCGGGGCCGCGCGGGCGTCCCCGTGCGTGAGGGCTGCGGCCCCGCGGTTCTGCCCTCCTTGCCCGCGTGTTTGAGGAAGGGGCGTCCCGTGGGCCGCGGCAGGATGCTCGTTGGCGGCGGCCGGGCGCGAAGCTGCTGCCCCCGCCCCGAGCCGCGACCAGGGGAGAACGAAGCCCCACGCGCGTCGGGGACCCTGGGCGCCCCGCTCTGCAGCCCCAGCCCCGGGGTGTCCGCCTCACTGTGCAAGATGGCCGCCGAGCTCCGGAACCGAGTCCGCGCCAGCCTGCAGGCGGGAACCCAGCGCCGACCGCTCTGGCCACGGTGCTGGGGGGCGGGGAGCTGGGCCCAGGCGTTGGGGTGCCCGCTGAATGGGGAGGCTCAGCCCCAGGAGAGCGCGGTGCTGATTCCCCTCAGCCTGTCCACCAGAAGGGGGCTTGGCCCGGGGGGTCTTGTTCCAGCTGCCGGCCAGGCTGGGGTCCAGCTTCCCACGCTGCCCAGTGTGGGCCTCTTCCCCCCAGGGGCCCTCATTTGGGGGTGCTAAGAGGGGTCATCCAGGGTCGGGGCTCTCCAGAAAGAGGCCGTTGACGGCCCCCGGGGAGCCTGGCTCCTGCCAGCCAGGGCTGTGGCCGCCCCTCCCCCCCCAGGACCTGGGCTGCGGCTCCTCTGGGGTCCGGTCCCAGGCCGGGCAGGGTGTTCTCTGGGCTCAGGGCCAGAGGCTCAGCAAGGCCCCCAGGCCCTGTGCCACCCCCAGCCCAGACCAGCTCTGGAGGGGTTGGAATCGGTACGCGGGACAGCCGAGGTCGGGACGGCCCCGCTCTGTCGTGGCCGTGAGCCGGCTGCACAGCTCGGTCCAGTCATCCGTCCCTCGTCTTGAATTGTGATAAAAATGTCAAACAATTAGATTGCATTGGCCAGCGGCGGGCAGGGCCCGTCCCTGGAATCACCCTGACAGCGGGCCGGCTCCTGCTGCCATAAATCCCCCTCCCCAGGCGGCGTGGGCGGCTTGGCTGGTGGCTGGGGGGTCAGCCCAGTGGGCTGGGCTGCACACAGGAAGCCGCCGTCCTGAGGCCCGGCCGGGAGCCCGGGTTTTGTGGGTGGGGGCAGGCAGTCCCTGGGGACAGGGCAGTGTCCAGGCTGAGCTGTGTGTCCTGGGGCTCCCCCAGGCCCAGGCTGTGGCCCCCCCTTCCCCAAACTCAGCGCCCCTCCTTCCGGGGAGTCACCGCGGCCTTTTTATCTGAGGGGTGAAGACGTGTTGAGAATTGATTTCTCTGTTGAAAATGGAATAATTAACCTGCTGTTTCTCTCTTCATCATCGTCGGACGCCGGGAGGAGCAGTAATTGGATGGCGACGTCCTTTGCCGAAGTTGCCGGTTATATTTCAGAGAGATGGGATAATGATGCCGTTTAATCATTTTTACAAGATATAAAATTACTGGCTCCTCCAGGAAGATCATTAGGGAAAACAATTGTTCATAGCCATTGAAAATAGGATTTTAATGATTTAACACAGAAATTAAACTATTAGCAACCGGTGTTGGATGAGGCAACTTAATAGAAATTTATATACAAGAGTCTGGAGTGTTTCAGCTTTATTAACCGTCTGATTCCTTCTTCATCCCAGCCCACCTGGGAGGTCACGGCAGCCCGGGGTCACCGGAGAGGCCCCGCAGGAGCTCGGCCCCCTGTCCACTTCACAGGGGTGCCTCGGGAGCCCCAGGTCTGGCCCAGGCAGCCCGGCTCCCGGCCTGGGGCCCCCACTCACTCTCAGGTCCTCCTCCCTCCCTGACGTCACGGGGCCCCCTCTGTGCCCAGAGCCCCTCCCCCACCGTGGGCTGGGCTATGTCGGAGCCCAGCCTGGTGCTTGCCAGTGGCTTGGGTCAGGGTAAAGGATGCTTTGTAAAATTTATTTTCATGTTTTAAATCTGAAAGAGAGATCTTCCATCTGTTGGTTGCCTCCCCCAAATGCCTGGAAACAGCCGGGCTGGGTCAGCACCCAGCCAGGGCCCAGGAGCTCAGGTGCCGGCAGTGGGGGCCAGGGCCGTCCTTGAGCTGTCGCTGAGGCCCCAAGCTGTGCACCTGCGAGAAGCCGGACTACAGCGGAGCCAGGACTGGAGCCCAGGGACCCCAGGGGGCTTAGCCGCTGCTCCCAATGTCGCCGGCCCTTAAGGCGGCTTCCTGTGGGGGCTTCGGTCCGAAATCTGAATGAGGCCTGGTCACCGCGGTACAGAGAAGACGGGTCAGGCATGGGCTGCCGTGGGACTCGGCTGAGAGGCAGGAGGGCGTCCCCGCTGTTCCCACCGAACCCATCCTCCCCCCCTGTCCCTGAAACGCCGCCATCCCCCGTCCCGTCCCCACAACCCCGCTGTCCCCTGCCCCCTGCACCCCTACCATCCCACACCCCTGCTGCGGCCTCGCCACTCAGGCCGGGAGGGAGCGTTTTTTCGGTCCACTTTTCTGGCATTTTCCAAGTTTTCTAGAATAAAATGTAGTTAAAAATGTATTCTCCAAAGCAAAACACACAAAAAGCCACTTTTGAGACCAGAGAAGCAAAACAAAAGGGACTGGGCCAGCGGGCGTGGACGCTGACGTGGACACACGTGGACGCGGCTCCCCACGGGCGCTCAAGGAGCCGGCTTGGCCTCCAGCCCCAGGCACAGGGGCCCGAAGTGGCTGGCCCAAGGCGGCTCTCCCCACTCCCCGGGGAGCCGAGGCCGCACGGGGCACCTTTTCCTGGGGGGCTGTGCCCACCCCGAGGGCGCCGCCTCCGGTGACTGCCGATAAATCCCCACGGTCTCCCCGTGCGATTCTCAGGTTACATAAATCCCACCTGTGCCGTCTTCACGCCTGAATATATTACCGAACGCCACTTCTGCTCGGGAGCTAATTGATAAGGTGATTTGTTATGCTGCCAGGACATAACTCACCCTGGGCGCCGCGGCGGGAGGCGGCCCGCCCCGTGAAATATCGGCGCACGCTTTTATTCTCGAGCTGGGTGGGCGCCAGCACCTCCAAGAAGCGCCCTGACGGGGATTTATCCCTGGTCGTTAGCTTTCTTTGCAGCTGGAACAAGTGCGTGTGTATATATGAAAAAGGGGAAGTCAAACAAAGCCACCACAGCCAACCGTTCACCAACCGGCGTGACGTGGGAAATTCCAGAGAAGACCACGGCCTGGGGTCCCGGGAGCCGTCCCCCACGGCGTCGGCAGTGCCGGTGTTCAGGTGACTTCGTCACAGCCCCCAGGCCGGGGCTGGGTGGAGGAGGACCCAGCACGTGCAGCCTGAGGCCGGGGTGCACCTGTCGCCTGTGGGGGCTCCTCTGGGGGTGCTGAGAGAAGGGGGGCGAGGGTCCCCAGAGCACGGCTTCCCCTGCCCTGGCTTCTGGGCCTGCGGGAAGCAGGGCGCCAGGACCCGACAGGGCCCACTGGACTCGGGACAGTGCCATGTGTCACGCTGTCCTCACACGCGTGTCCCCCGGACAGTCCTTTCACTGCTAGGAGCAGCACAGAGCCACCATGAGGCTCCCCCTGCTGTCCCGCCCGGCCCCACCCCTGCCGGCCCTCCCCCACCCGTCCTGAGAACTCGCAGGGACAGAACTGTGCTCTGTGACCTGTGGACGCTGGCCTTGCTGCTCAGCAAGGACCCTTGAGGCCCACCCTGGTTGGAGGCAGTAATTCACCTGGGGCCAGCATTGTGCAGCCGGTAAAGCCACCACGGGCAGTGCCGGCATCCGTGGGTCTCGGCTGCTCCACTACCTATCCAGCTCCCCGCTGGTGTGCCTGGCAAGGCGGCAGAGGGTGGCCAAGAGCTTGGGCCCACGTGGGAGACCCAGATGGAGCTCCTGGCTTTGGCTTGGCCCAACCCTGCCTCTTTCGGCCATTTGGGGAGGGAAGCAGTGGCTCTGTTTCGCCCTCTCTCTGTCCCTCTGTTGCTCAAGTTACGGTCATCCTTTGTGTCTGTGGCTGTCCCGCGGAGCCACGCCCTGTTCTCTGCATCTTGCCGTGAACGCGTGTGCTCGTGTTCACGTGTGATGGCCGGGCTGTGCAGGAGCTGCGTGTTGGTTTCCTGAGAAACTGCCGCTCTCTTGACCCCTGCGCCGCCCCCAGCCACACGGGTCTGGCTCACGTCCTGACCCAGGGCGCCGTGGCACTCCTCACTCTGCACTGGACCAGTGCCTGGCGGCGGGGCCCAGCAGGGGCCCAGCAGGGGCTCCGAGGACACTTCCTGCAGGCAGCACTGCCCCCCGCCTTCTGACGGCGAACACCAGGGTCGCGCTGCACACGGAGGGGCTGAGGCTGCTCGTGGGGTCCATGGCCAGGCCGCTGCTGACCACGCCCACCTCTGCCGTCAGAACGTTTGGAGGACGCACCCTGGGATGGGGGAGGAGGGCCTGTCACCCCGAAACTCATGCGGTGTAGAACCCTGAGGTCTCATGTCGGTGGGGGTGGGTGAGGGGCGGGGCCTGGTCTGCTGGCCGCACCCAGGGGCGGTCACTGCAGCAGAGGGGCGTCCACATGGCCCTGCGGCCGGAGCAGCCCCACCAGACGCCAGGGCCCTGCACCTCCCCGGGGAGCTGCAGTCCCACGTTCCTCCCAGGGAAGCGCCTCTCAGAGCCTGACAAGGAGAAGCCCTCGGCCCTGACTGCCCCGCACACCGGTCTGTCTCCCGTCTTCCTGGTTCTGGAAAGTTCCACGGAGGGGCCTGTGCGTGTGCTGGCAGGTCTCCCCCTCGAGGCCCCGTCCTCGGGGCTGAGGCGCTGGACAGTGGGCTGTGCCCCGGGCCGGCCGCAGGAGCCACACACAGGCTTGCTCGTGCTGTTTACTGAGACGCCAGGAGCACACAGGCAGGGGAGGGGCCGCTGAGGCACAGAGGCCTCTGGGCGAGCGTCCTGATGAGGCTGTGTCCAGGGCTGGGGGGCTCCCCGGAGGGGGCTGCTGGAGGTGCGGCCAGGCCCGCTCACCAGATGACCTGGTGCGGCAGCCCGTACAGGACCAGGTTGAGGGTGGAGGGGAGCAGCCGGGAGCTGTGCTGCTTCGGCCAGAACATGAGCTTGTCCCTGGACGTGCGCGGGGCCTCGTCTGTGGGGGGGGGGACAGGGCTGAGGCTGGCAGCTCCGACCCAGGGCCACCGAGCTCCCCAGTGGGCCGGAGCCACAGGCTCATCTGCACACCCAGGTGTAGGTGCGGCTGCGGAGAACTCTTGGCGGGGGGTGTGGGTGGGGGTGTGGAAGCTGGGAGGCTGCCGGGCCCACGGCAGAGGTGACAGCGCCAGGCCACCCCATGGGCCCCATGTCTAGAGCCAGCCTCCTCCTGCCCCCTGCCTCCTCCTCCTGCCCCGGCCTCCTCCTGCCCCCTGCCTCCTCCTGCCCCGGCCTCCTCTGCCCCCGGCCTCCTCCTCCTGCCCCGGCCTCCTCCTGCCCCGGCCTCCTCCTCCTGCCCCCGGCCTCCTCCTGCCCCCAGCCTCTTCCTGCCCCAGCCTCCTCTGCCCCCGGCCTCCTCCTCCTGCCCCTGCCCCCGGCCTCCTCCTGCCCCCAGCCTCTTCCTGCCCCAGCCTCCTCTGCCCCCGGCCTCCTCCTCCTGCCCCTGCCCCCGGCCTCCTCCTGCCCCCGGCCTCCTCCTGCCCTCCGCCTCCTCTGCCCCCAGCCTCCTCCTCCTGCCCCTGCCTCCTCCTGCCCCGGCCTCCTCCTGCCCCCAGCCTCCTCCTGCCCCCAGCCTCCTCCTCCTGTCCCGGCCTCCTCCTGCCCCCGGCCTCCTCCTGCCCCCGGCCTCCTCCTCTGCCCCCAGCCTCCTCCTCCTGCCCCCGGCCTCCTCCTGCCCCCGGCCTCCTCCTGCCCTGGCCTCCTCCTCTGCCCCTGGCCTCCTCCTGCCCCCGGCCTCCTCCTGCCCCGGCCTCCTCCTCCTGCCCCGGCCTCCTCTGCACCCGGTCTCCTCCTCCTGCCCCTGCCCCCGGCCTCCTCCTCCTGCCCCAGCCTCCTCTGCCCCCGGCCTCCTCCTCCTGCCCCTGCCCCCGGCCTCCTCCTGCCCCCAGCCTCTTCCTGCCCCAGCCTCCTCTGCCCCCGGCCTCCTCCTCCTGCCCCTGCCCCCGGCCTCCTCCTGCCCCCGGCCTCCTCCTGCCCTCCGCCTCCTCTGCCCCAGCCTCCTCCTCCTGCCCCTGCCTCCTCCTGCCCCGGCCTCCTCCTGCCCCCAGCCTCCTCCTGCCCCAGCCTCCTCCTCCTGTCCCGGCCTCCTCCTGCCCCCGGCCTCCTCCTGCCCCCGGCCTCCTCCTCTGCCCCCAGCCCCTCCTCCTGCCCCCGGCCTCCTCCTGCCCCCGGCCTCCTCCTGCCCTGGCCTCCTCCTCTGCCCCTGGCCTCCTCCTGCCCCCGGCCTCCTCCTGCCCCGGCCTCCTCCTCCTGCCCCGGCCTCCTCTGCACCCGGTCTCCTCCTCCTGCCCTGGTCTCCTCCTGCCCTGGCTTCCTCCTGCCCCCTGCTTCCTGTCCCGGCCTCTTCCCGCCCTGGCCTCCACCTGCCCCAGCCGCCTGCTGCCCCCAGCCTCCTGTTGGCGGCACGGGGACCTATCAGCTACACCTCATACCAGCCCGGCTCTTGTTTTAATTGGAGGCAGAGAGACCTCCCCGGATGCCCGAGACTGCGGGGCTGAGCCCGCACTCTGGGTCTCCCACGCGGGGGCCGGGGACCCTCTCCACGGCTGCTTCCTGCTTCTGCTAGGAGTGAGTGTGGCAGCTCGGCCACGCCCTCAGCCCCTGTCCCTCCCTGCCTGCTCCGCCCCCAAGCGCCTGTGGCTTGAGCACTTGCCCGGCCCTGGGGCCAGAGTTTTTGGAGCCGTGTGTCTGTCTGACGGCTGTGACTGCTGGCCGCTGGGGGAGCCCGTGGGTGCTCTGATCCCTGGCGGCCACTGTGGGGCTCCTGTCACTCCTGGGCTGCCGCCCTGGGGTGAGGTCCCAGCGGGACTGCCCCAGGGTCTGGGAGCAGAGCCCCACGTGCCGTGAGACTGACAAGGGTCCAAGGAGGACAAGGGGGTGACGGGCGGGCTGGTGCCCCCGACTCTGAGACCCTCAGCTGGGACCTGGGCTGGCTGGCGGCCATGCACCCAAAGGCCTCCCTCGGAAGGGGCGCAGGGCAGGGGTCGCCTGGGTTTCCCGGGGTCCCAGAGAGCTCTGCCTGAGCTGGAGAAGGGGGCCCCCCTGTGGCGAGAGGTGGGGCAGTGCAGGACTGGGCCTCTCAGGCCTGGGACCCTGGCTCCTGGGGGTGGGGCCTCCGGCTCACCTGGGCTCAGCCTGGGGCTGGTGGCCTGCGCCCGCAGGCGGTGGACGGCACTGCCCACCAGCTGGCCGCCTGACAGCAGACCTGGGGAGAAAGGTCCCCTCAGGGCGGGCGGTGCGGTGGGCTGGGCCCGAGGCTGGGGGCGGGGCTGCGGCACGCACTTTCCCACAGGGCGCTGGCCCGCCAGGCGTTGTCCTGCAGCGACGTGGGCCACTGGTTTGCCAGGATGCTCCGGACGCCCACCAGGCTCAGGAGGATGGCTGTCTCCACAGGCTCCTCCAGCGACAGCTGCGCCGCACTGCGGGGACCCGGCTCCCGTGGGCTGCGCCGGGGCCTGGCCCGAGCTCTCCCTGGCCACAGCCCACGTGGCACCCACTGCTGGGGGCCCGTCTGGACCGGCAGATCCCCTGACGTGGGGCGCAGTGAGTGCCGGGGGACTCACACCCAGGGCAACAGCCCCCGCCCCGGGCGCCACGGCAGGGCCCCTGCCAGGGAGGGCCCCGGGGCTGAGTGCACCTGGCAGGCACAGCCCCTCCCGGCCCCAGCCCCCACCGCCCCTGCACCCTGCCGGCACCTCTTGCTCTCCGAGGCCTCCGTGTGCCGCCGCAGGCTCTCTGGGGACTGGGTCAGATCCAGCAGAACCATCACCTGGCAGCCTGCGGGCACACGGGCCCGGCTCAGTGCAGCAGGCACCCTGGGCACCCGTACCCGGGGCAATGGCAATGCCGGCTTCCAGCCTGAGGCATGGCTTAGCAGGCCCTGTTCAGGGGCCCACGGCCTGGGCCACATGCACACGCCCTCCCTCTCTCTGGACCTCTACAGGCCCCGGTGAGTTGATCGCCGAGAGCCGTGTGTGGCTCCTGAGTGATCGGGGCTGGAAAGGGGCCCTGGGCACCTATGTGGGAACTCACCCTCGCACCTCCCAGGGGACAGGGACGTCATCAGGGGTCCTGTGCAAGCCCACCTGCTGCAGTGTGTAGCACTGGACACCCAGCACCCCGGGCAGAGCAGGTCCCCAGGATGTCCTGGGGTCACAGACGGCCCCGTGGGGCACCTGCCCACCCAGGCATGAGTGCTGGGAGTGGGGGAAGCCGTGAGCTAGCGGCCCGTCTGTGGCACTTGGCACTGTGGGCCGTGGCCGGCTGAGCCCTGCCCAGGCCCCTGCCCAGCCGCAGTCGTCCCCTGGCCCTGCTCAGAACCCGTCTGGGTTCCACCTGGCCGACGGCAATTCTGCACCCGAGTCCTGGGGCTCGCTGGGCAGCATCCCCCGTGGTCAGTGCGTGGCAGGGGAGACAAGGCCCACGTGCCCAGTGCAGGTGCCGCGGCTCTGAGGGGTGCACAGGCCCCCACCCCCGCCCACCTGACCCTGGCTGGCCTGCCTGTTCTGGAATCTGAGTGGGGGGGGTCTCTGAGGGACAGAGGACGGGGTGAGGGGAGGGAGCCGTCGGGTGGGCTGCCCTGGTCGGGGACGGCCCTCACCCTGCAGATTCATGGCGGCCAGCCTCTCCACTGACAGGTGCGACAGGAACTGCTCCATCCCGTAGAAGAAGAAGCCTCCGCAGCTGCCCAGCACCTGCTCCCACTCGGCCTGGCTGCAGAGAGAGCAGCCGCTGGGGTCCCGGCCCCGCTCCCAGGAGGGGCGGCAGCTGGTGTGAGGCGGGGCACAGGGCTGGGGACACCGTGGAGACTCGGACCCCGGACGGGTACTGCTGTCACCGGGCCCCCACGCGCGGGAGACAGCATCAGCCGTGGGAGGGAGCCGGATGGGGTGCCACCCACGTGCCCCCTGCACGGACCTGTCCTCTTGCGCCCGTCTGTCCCCAGAGTTGCCCCCGGGCCGGGCTCAGGGGTCACCTGCTGGACTCCGTGCTGCGGCGCCCCCGCCCAGGCCCTGTGAGGACGGGACCTGTGTCTGCGGAGTGCAGGCAGAGGGGCGGGGCGGGGCGGGAGGGGAGGCTGCTGGACCGGAACCGAACCTCGGGAACTGCTTCCTCCCCAGGTGTCCCGCCCATCGGGACGTGAGCGTGTCTTGGAATCTTTCCAGAATTTCCTGGGTCACGGAGACAGGAGTCAGGGATTCTGCAGGCATTGTGGGAGACAGACACAGGCGCTTTGTCAGCAGCTGGGGGGTGGGGGCCGAGTCGGCCCCTCCCCTCCCGCTGGAGATGAGCCGCAGCGGCCCTAAGGCCTGTGGGCACTCACCTGTGCCCTGCGCCTCCTCGTAGGGGTCCACCACATCTAGAACCTGGTCAAGGAAAACCCGGCGCCCAGCCCGGGGGCCGCGAGCCAGGGCCCCTCAAAGGATACACTTGAAGGTGTCCGAGTCGACTGCAATGCATTCTGGGGGGATGACCCGGTACGCGCTGCCCTACAGCCGGACAGGGCCCTGAGCGTCAGGTGCCCGGCTGGGCCCCGCCCCGCCCCGCCCCGCCCCACCCTGCCATGCCATGCCACGCCCTGCTCCCGCCCCACCACGCCCCACCCCACCCTGCCCTGACCCCACCACAGCCCACCCTGCCATGCCACGCCCGCCACGCCCCGCCCAGCCCTGTCCCCACCCACCACACCCTGCCCTGCCCCGCCCCGCCCGCCACGCCATGCCCATCACGCCCTGCCACGCCCATCAGCCCGCCACGCCCACCTTTGCAGCCCTGCGGGACGGCGTCTTCTTCCTCAAGTCTTTGCCCTTGCCCTCGCGTTTCAGGTTGGCTTCAGCTGGAAGACGCGACGTTTGACGCCACTGTGAACCCACGGAGGGCCACGGGCCACCTCAGGGGCCACCTCCCAGGGGTCACAGGGTCGCAGGGGTCACAGGGCCGCCCCTTGGGGTCACCTCGCCTCATGTGAGGCTCCGCGCAGTTAAGACATCAAAGGGAGAACGGAATTGGTTCTGGTTTTTGTGAGGCTGAAATGGCAAGAATCTCAAACACACAGGGCGGGGAATGGCCCTCTGCCCTCACTGGCCACTCGCACGCACGCTGGGCGCTCACCAGTGCGCCCGCTGTCCCAGCCTTCACAACCTGGCCCCCTGGCACCCGGAGCTGTTTCCGGTGGCTTCTGGATTCTTCAGGAGACGCGAGACAGCCAGGGCCCGAGGTCGCCCTCCCCCTCCCCCGGCCTGCCGGGGCCGGCGGGCGTGCAGCAGAGGCCTGGCCCCAGTTCTCCCAGGGGTCCCCTCACGGCGGAGGCTGCCCCTCCCCCATGTTCCTCTCCTGTGGGCCTGAGCCCCACCCCCTTCTTTAACCTGCCAGGCAGTGGGGGTCTTTAGACCCCCCCGGGAGCAGCATGGCCAGCTGCAGGGGCCCCCCACCCTGGCTCCCCGGACGGCCAGCGTCGGCCCCGCCTGCCCCAGGCCTGGGAGCCCTGCTCCGTGCTGAGTGTGGCTCCAGGGGTCTCACTTGGAGCCGGCGCCTGTCCCAGCACTTGGGGGGGGGGTGGCGCTCGGCTGCTCACCATCCACTGAGGCTGAGCGTGGGCCCCCACCCTGCACCCCACCCTGAGTCCGCCCTGTCCCGACCCCCTCCCGCCGCTCCCTCCCCTCGTGCCCGCCCCCGCGGAGCCCTGCCTGGCAGAGGGCAGCCCCACCTGCCTCGTCTCTCCGCAGCCGGTTGCACAGCATCTGCAGCGAGAGATCACGCGACACGGACGCCAGCGCGGCCTCGCGGAGCACACCCAGGCCCTCCAGCGGCAGCTCCAGCAGCGGCCGGTCCACCAGCAGGACCAGGTGCTCCGCGGCTTCTGGCTGGACTGCGGTGCGAGGAGAGGGTGTGGAGGTGGGCGCCGAGCCCCGGCCTGCAGTGTGGGGCCCCGGGGATGGGGGATGGACACAGTGTGGACGCAGCTCTGCGTCCCCCTGGCCGGGCCCGAGAGAGGGTCGAGTGGGTGGCCACGAGAGGGCCGCACTGACCGGTCCTTAAGCGGGAGACGCTGCCGTCGCATTCACATGGCTCAGAAAACTGCACAGCGCCCATGGCGGCCTCCTCGCCTGGCACAGCCAGTGTTAGGGCGGAGGCTCTGTGAGCCGGGCCCACCAGGGAGAGCGTGACAGGGACCCCGGGCCCGGGTCTGTGCTGACCCACTCACAGTGGCCGCTCTGGGGACTGTCCCCTCGCTTCTCTGCCCAGCGGCTGTTTGTGGGAGACAGGAAAGTGAAAGTGGACACTTGGCCGCTGAGATCGCTGAAAACCAGCGCCGTCCGGGGACAGAGGCCAAGCCCGTGGGCAGGGGCACCTCCCTGGTGGGCACCAGGCCCCAGGTCAGGTGAGCAGCGACACGGAGCCACAGAGGCCCCACACTGGGCCACAGTTAGGGGCTGGCCTCTCCTGATGAGTGACCGCGGGGCCTGGCTGGCCACAGCCACGCCCACCTGTCAGGGTCAGAAGGGAGCATCTGCTCCCGGTGTGGGTGTGTGGGGTCCCCGGGGGCTCTGCACGAAGCTCCCACAGCTCTGGCCAGCGGTCAGTGGCGCGCCCGCCACTCACTCTGCAGGTTGGACGTCTTCCTGTCCTTGTCCTTGCCCTTGAGCCTTCCTGTCTCCGGCACAGCCGTGGGCATTTGGAACCTGCGGGGCGGCACAGTCAGGCTCGGGAGCTCGACACGAGTGACCTGGCTCAGGACCCCACGCCCCTGGGCGCCCGGGAGACACGGCACGCGCACCCCACCTGCTGGAGGCCCTGAGCCGCTGTGCCCGCCCCCGGGGCTCCAGGGTCAGATGGGAACAGGTGGCATCTGAGCTGGCTCAGGGCCTCCCCAGCCTCGCAGAGGGGAGCCCCACCCCTCCCCCACCTCCCGCTGCCCCAGAGGCCCCCGCGCACGGCCACCTGACTTCCGGGAAGCTCAGCAGGGGCAGCAGCGGCCGCAGGTGCTCTTCCAGGAGCTTCAGGACGACGTCCAGCAGCCCCGGGCCGCGCCCGCCGTCTCCCGCCTGCACAGGCTCCTGGTCCTGCCTCGGCCCGGACAGCAGCGCAGTCAGGAAGCGCCCACCCCATGAGACCCCACCCCCACCCCGCTCAGAGCAGAGGGGCGGAGCCCTGCCCGTGAGACCCCACCCCGCTCAGAGCAGAGACTGCAGGAAACAGCGAGTCCCTGAGGCCAGAGTCACCTGGCTGAGTTTGGGACCCCTGGGACCCCCAGCTCCACCTCCTTCCTCGTGGAGCAGCCCTGGCGAGGAGACCCTGTGCTCTGGGTCTGCGCAGCAGCAGAGTTGCCCACTCCAGTGTGAGCCCCCAGCAGCCTTGGGTGGTCCTGGCCTGGGACCCCGCCGACCCTCACCAAGGGGACTCTCAGGGCGGAGTCTTCACCGAGCACCTGGCTCTGCTGGCGGAGGTGCCGGGCGCTGGCCAGGAGGTCTGAGAGGGCGCTGGGACTCACGGCCGCCCGCATCACCTTGCAGTGGCCTGGGGACACGGGCGGAGCTGTGCACGGGGCTCCTCCATGCGGGCCCCGCCCCCCCACCGTGGGGATGGGCGGCCCCTCCCCCTTGGGCTCGGGCAGGGGCACGGACACTCACCGCCCGCTGGCACCGCTTTCCCTCTGGGGGCAGGAAGGACCCTGGGTTGCTCGTAGATGGCACCGTACAGTCGGGACCTGTGGGCAGGGGGCCAGGCTGATCCCCACCCCACCCCTGGAGGCCGGGCCGTGCACAGTGAGTCAGACTTGGACCTGGAAGGCGCTCGGCCGCATGCAGGGTGCGGGCTGCCCAGCGGGAAACTGGCTCTGGGGTCACAGCCGGAGGCAGCGTCCAGCCTTCTGCCCACGGTCCTGGTGGCCAGGCGACCTGGACCTGCTACAAAGGCCCCCTTGCTGGGGACAGGTCCCCGGAGGCCCCCTCTCCACTAGGCGTCCTGGACTCCAGCCTGGCCTGCGTCGGCCCCTGCTCCCCGATGGCCGCCCTGGGCGGGGCTGCAGCCTGCGGCTTTACCTGTCCCGTGAGTAGTGCAGAAACAGCACGCGGAGCATGGACGGGATCTCGCTCAGGAGGCCGAAATGCTGCTCGGTGACGCAGAGGTTTTGCCAGGCCTGTGGGGCGGACGGGAGCCAGGGTTTCAGTAGGGGCTGTGTCTGGCTGGGAGTGACTGTGGCCGCCACAAGGGGGCAGCAGAGGCAAGCGGGAAACCCAGTTTGCACCGTAAACAAAACAAAGCCAACCTGTTCCTTCCCTGGGTGGGGGGGGGGGGCCCTGCGGTCTCCACACACCAGGGCTCCCGGGCACACGCACTGCACTCGCCTCACAGACATGCACACGCACACGCAGGACACGGGACAAGCCCAGCAAGCTGCAGTCGGGGTCATAGGTCAGATCCACGCGCAGGGAGGACCTGGGAAGCCATGGGAGGGGGGTCGCGCCCCACCCTCTGTGGGACCCCAGTAAACTCTCTTCTCTGCAAGCTGCAGGTCCCCCAGGGCGTCCGCAGAGTTAGGTCTGACAGCCTCGGCCAAGGGCCCCCCAGGGCGCACGACAGACGCTCAGAGCCACACCGCGGGCAGAGGCCGGGCAGAGGCCGGGCAGAGCCTGGCGCACAAGTGCCGTTTACCTTGGCGACGGCCGCCAGCCTCTGCTCCACGCTGGCGCACAGGCTGGTGGAGGCTCTGTCCTCCTGCCTCAGCTGGTGCTGCAGCCGGAGCAGGGCTGCCAGCTGGGAGCCGCCGGTGTTGGCCGTGGCCGTGAGCAGGACGCCCCGCATGGTCTCCGAGGCCCGGCAGCTCTGGAACAGATGCCAGGCAGGGGCGGTGGCCGGGTGCCCTGGTCACCCTGGTGGCCCTGGCTCGGGGCCACGCTGGCCTCGGCTGGGTCTCTGCACCTCCCACTGCGGGGCCTGGGGACGAGGACGCGCGCGTCTGCTCTGAGTCACGGGAGCATTAGGCTGGCGGGCTCGCGCCCTGACTGTCTTCTCTAAGGAACCGTCAGTCATACCTGAGACAGCGCCAGGAACTGGCAGGTGGCGGCGGGGTCCAGGGAGCCGAGGCACTCCACCATCTCCAGGCTGGCCGCGGCTGCCACGTCAAGGCGGCCACTGGCCAGGGCGGCCTGCAGGCACTGCAGCAGCAGCTCGGACGCCTGCGCCCGGAGCCGCTGGGCCAGGGCCATCCTCCTCTGCGGGCAGCGAGGCTCTGGCTCAGGCGGGCGCCGGGGCAGGGGCCCGGGGTGGGGCGGGGCAGCCGTACCTTCAGCGTCTCGCCTCTCCTGCCGGGCTCCTCGGGGCCTGCCCGGAAGGCCGGCAGCTCCTTGCTGGACGCCCTGACCGCCTCGCCCACTGCTTCCGGCTCCAGAGATCTGAGGCTGCTCAGCTTCGTGCCTACCTGGGGAGCACACGGGTTCCCCCGCGGTCAGCACGGCCAGGCCCGCCTGCCCGTCGCCACTGTCTGGTGGGGAAGGAGAAGCCGAGGGCTCGGCAGGCTCAGAACTCAGGAGGGAGCTCCCGGCTTCGTGGCTTCACCAGCACCTCGGTCCCCACCAGACGGCACAGATGGAGCAGACACGGCCGCAGCCCAGGGCGGCCGCGGAGGGGAGGAGGGGAGGAGCGGGCCAAGGAGGCCCAGGAGCTGGGCGGTCTCAACCGCCCCCAGCCAGCTGGGCCACGACCCCCTAGGCCGCTCGGGCTCTGCTTTCCCACTGCAGACGGCGAAGGACACGGACATCGCCATCCGCGGCCAGGCCACCACGGAGCAGGGAGAGACCACGCCAGAGCCCGGGAGCCTGGCCACGAGGCCACGGGGCTGGTTCTCTGCACTGCGCGGGGACCCGAGGCCCACCTGCTCCCGCGGGGTCTGCTCCAGCAGAGGGCACCCCCTCGGGGGGTCCTCGTGCGCCTGTGTCTCCCCGGCTTCGCTGTTGAGGCGGGGGGGGGGGGTTGTGCGGCACAGTGGAGATGGGAGCAGCACCCACCTGGAGGCTGTCGTCCCAGTAGGAGGAGGGGTGCACAGGGTCCGCCTGCACGGCCAGCAGGTGCAGGGCCCTCCCGGCCAGGCCGAAGAGCTGGGAGCGAATGTCCACGCAGCCCACGCACAGGGGCAGGGTGCTCTCCAGGTGCGCCAGCGCCGTGTGTGCCAGTGTCCGCTTCAGCAGGGCCCATTGCTGCCGGGAGACACGCATCATGCCCCCGTGCCCACCCCCTGCCAACACTGCCCGGGGCAGGTGCCTGTGTGGGAGAGGTCGCAGGCTTGCTGACCCAGCTTCCCCTGGGGCTGCCCAGCTTGGGAGGTCATCCTGGGGCTACCTCTGCCCACCTGTGTCCACCCCTGTCTACCCAGTCCACCCCTGTCCGTCTCTGTCCACACCTGTCCACCCAGTCCGCCAATGTCCACCCAGTCCGCCTCTATCCACCTCTGTGTGCCTGTCCACCCAGTCCACCCCTCTCCACCTCTGTCCACCCGTCACCTCCGTCCACCCATGTCCACCTCTGTCCACCCCATCCACGTCAACTAACTCATGTTTCAGGAAAACCCAACAAGCTGCAAAATGGAATGGTGTATTTCCTTATTGTATTTTTAACCAAATGTAATTCACATTTATCAGGCTCTTTAGCATGATGGGGTAGGGTCGCCGCAGGGTCCCGCCCCCCCCCAGCCATGCTGCCCCCTCCCGGCGTTACCAGGTCGAGGGCGGTGTAGTCCCTGCCGCACTGCAGGTAGCCTGCCAGGAGCTCGTGCAGGGAGCCCTGCTCCCGCCGCTGCTCCAGGGCCTTCTCCCAGGTGAGCTGCAGCAAGTCCAGCGACACGTCCACCAGGCACAGCTTGAGGCGGGCCAGCCTCCTCATCAGGGGCGTGTTGACGCTCTGCAGCTGAGCGCACCGAGGCAGGCCACGTGAGCCCACACACAGTTGACACACACGTGGTGCCTTCCGTGCCCCTCCCTTCCACTCCCGAACCCCCAGGACCCCTCCCTGCTCCTGGGCAACCACTTAGTGTCTGGCCTGTGACTTCACACTTTCTGCAGTTTTCTCTCAATGGGATCACATCCCACGTAGGGATTCTGCCTGCCCAGCTCCACGCAGCCTCGTTACCCTGTGACCCGTGCCTAGGCCCTCTGGAGGGGGCCCCGTGTGTCCCCACTCAGGCACTGCTCCCTCTTGGGGGTGGCTGAGGTCCGGCAGCAGCGAGCACCCAGTGTGGGCCCCGGAGACGGACACCCCGTCCTCCAGGACGGCCTCTGCTATGGTGGAGTGGGGGGCCCATGTCCCCCAACCCTATTGACACTCCCTGGGGCCAGAGCCCTGTGCTTGCTGCTCCTATGCCGCCTCTGCAGCCCCTAACCCTAACCCTAACCCCAACTCCTAACCCCTAACCCTAACACCTAACCCTGACCCTAACCCTAACCCCAACTCTAACCCCTAACCCTAACCCTAACCCTAACCCTAACCCCTAACCCTAACCCCTAACCCTAACACCTAACCCTGACCCTAACTCTAACCCATAACCCCTAACCCTAACCCTAACCCTAACCCAACTCCTAAAACCCTAACCCTAACACCTAACCCTGACCCTAACCCTAACCCCAACTCTAACCCCTAACCCTAACCCTAACCCTAACCCCTAACCCTAACCCCTAACCCTAACACCTAACCCTGACCCTAACTCTAACCCATAACCCCTAACCCTAACCCTAACCCCATAACCCTAACCCTAACCCAACACTAACCCTAACCCTGACCCTAACCTTAACCCTAACCCAACACTAACACTAACCCTAACCCTGACCCTAACCTTAACCCTAACCCAACACTAACACTAACCCTAACCCCCTAACCCTAACCCAACACTAACCCTAACCCTAACCCTGACACTAACCTTAACTAAACCCAACACTAACCCTAACCCTAACCCTGACCCTAACCTTAACCCTAACCCAACACTAACACTAACCCTAACCCTGACCCTAACCTTAACCCTAACCCAACACTAACACTAACCCTAACCTAACACTAACCCTAACCCTAACCCTGACACTAACCTTAACCCTAACCCAACACTAGCACTAACCCTAACCACCTAACCCTAACCCAACACTAACCCTAACCCTAACAATGACCCTGACCCTGACCCTAACCCCAAATCCCTAACCCCTAACCCTTAACTCTAACCCTAACCCCTAACCCCAACCCTGACCCTGACCTTAACCCCTAAACCTGACCATAACCCTAACCCTAACCCTGACCCTAACTGTAACCCTAACCCCTAACCCCTAACCCTGACCATAACCCAACCCTAACCCCTAACCCTAACCCTGACCCTGACCCTGACCCTAACTGTAACCCTAACCCAACCCTAACCCTCTAACCCTAACCCTACCCAACCATAACCCTAACCCTGACCCTGACCCTGACCCTAACCCCAAATCCCTAACCCCTAACCCCAACACTAACCCTAACCCCTAACCCTGACCCTAACCCTAACCCTGACCATGACCCTGACCCTAACCCCTAAACCTGACCCTAACACTGACCCTAAGTGTAACCCTAACCCCTAACCCTGACCCTAACCCAACCCTAACCCCTAACCCTAACCCTGACCCTGACCCTAGCCCTAACCCTAATACTAACCCTAACCCAAACCCCTAACCCTAACCCTGACCCTGACCCTAACCCTAATACTAACCCTAACCCAAACCCCTAACCCTAATCCCTAACCCTGACCCTAACCCTGACCTGACCCTAACACCAAACCCCAAACCCTAACCCCAAACCCTAACCCCTAACCCTAAACCCCTAACCCTAACCCGAACCCTGACCCTAACCCTAACCCCTTAACCCTAACCCCTAACCCTGACTCTAACCCTAACCCAACACTAACCCTGACCCTGACCCTAACCCAAACCCCCTAACCCCTAACCCCTAACCGTAACCCTAACCCTGACCCAAACTCTAACCCCAAACCCCTAACCTTAACCCTAACCCTGACCTTAACCCTAACCCTGACTCTAACCCTAACCCCTAACCCTGACCCTAACCCTGACACTAACCCAACGCTAACCCCTAACCCTGACCCCGACCCTAACCCCAAACCCCTAACCCTAACCCTAACCCCCTAAACCTAAAACCTAACCATGACTCTAACCCTAACCATAACCCAACACTAACCCTAACCCTGACTCTAGCCTTAACCCCTAACCCTGACCATGACCCTGACCCTAACCCCTAACACTGACCCTAACCCTAACCCCTAACCCTGTCCATGACCCTGACCCTAACCCCTAAAACCTGACCCTAACCCAACCCTAACCCCTAACCCTAACCTTAACCCTGACCCTAACCCAACCCTAACCCCCTAACCCTAACCCTAAAACTAACCCAACCATAACCCTAACCCTGACACTGACCCTGACCCTAACCCTAAACCCCTAACCCTAACTCTAACCCTGACCCTGACCCTAACCGTGACCCTGACCTGACCCTAACCCCAAACCCCAAGCCCTAACCCCTAACCCTAATCCCCTAACCTTAACCCTGACCCTAACCCTAACCCCTTAACCCTAACCCCTAACCCTGACTCTAACCCTAACCCTAACCCTAACTCCTAACCCTGACCCTAACCCAACGCTAACCCTGATCCTGACCCTGACCCTAACCCTGACCCTGACTCTAACCCTAACCGAAACCCTAACCCTCTAACCCCTAACAAGAACCCTAACCCTAACCCTGACCCTGACCCTAAACCCAAACCACTAACCTTAACCCTAACCCTGACCCTGACCCTAACCATAACCCCTAACCCTGACCCTAACCCTGACACTAACCCAACCCTAACCACCTAACCCTGAACCTGACTCTAACCCCAAACCCCTAACCCTAACCCTGACCCTAACCCTGACCCTAACCCTAACCCCCTAACCTTACCCCCTAACCCTGACTCTAACCCTAACCCTAACCCAACACTAACCCTAACCCTGAACCTAACCCTGACCCTGACCCTAACCCCTAACCCTGACTCTAACCCTAACCCTAACCAAACACTAACCCTAACCCTGACCCAGACCCTGACACTAACCCCCAAGCCTAACCCCTAACCCGGACTCTAACCCTAACCCTAACCCAACACTAACCCTAACCCTGACCCCGACCCTGACCCTAACCCCTGACCCTAACCCCTAACCCTAACCCTAACCCCCTAACCCTAACCCCTAATCCTGACTCTAACCCTAACCCAACACTAACCCTAACCCTGACCCTGACCCCGACCCTGACCCTTGACCCTAACCCCCTAACCCTAACTCTAACCCTGACCCTAACCCCTAACCCTAACCCTAACCCCTAACCCTGACCCTAACCCAACCTTAACCCTAACCCTAACCCTAACCCCTAACCCTGACCCTAACCCAACCCTAACCCTAACCCTAACCCTAACCCCTAACCCTGACCCTAACCCAACCCTAACCCTAACCCAACCCTAACCCTAACCCTATCCCTAACCCTAACCACTTCCAGGAAGTGGGTGTGCCTGTTTTCCTTGGGAGCTCTCCAAGTTTCTGGCCATGACGCCTTCGTCTGACGCTGGCGTGGCCGTCCCTCCCTTACTCTGGCAGAAGCCCAGGTTCTCAGCTCTCATCCGTGTGTGGCGCTTCTGTTGCTCAGGCTGAGAGCAAACATTTTCCCATCCGCCCCACTATAGCATCGCGGAGCCCTGGGGTCCTGGGTCCCTGTTAGGCCGCTTTCACACAGGACCCTGGTGTGAACCGAGCCTGCGGCTGGCCTGGTGTCTGCGCGCTCCACCCACGACCGGCGGGGTGCCGAGGCTCCACTGCGCTGTCACCAGCTGTCCCACAGGCAGCCCTTCTGCTCGGTGCCCTCTGTTCCCCGAGCCCGCCTGCGTCCATGCGCACAGCTGACAAGCTCTGCCTTCTGACTGAGGGTGCAGACCCTGTGGGGGGCTCGAGAGCACTGTCTACTGTGGTGGCCTTTGTCCTTGACCTTTTCTCACCGCCTCTCCTGCCCCCAGCACCCGGGTGCTGTGGTTTCTGTGGCTGCCCCGGGGGCTGGGTGTTCTGGCCCCCGGCCCACGTGCATGGGGCCATGACGGTGGCTCGCGTTTGCTCTGCCCACTGAAGGCAGCTCCTCAGTGTTTGCGAAAACATCATTTCACCCGCATTTTTTAAACAAATGCAGTCCCGCTGGTACGGGATTCGGACAGGGTTCTGCCGGGTTTCCTCCACTGCGTGCTGGCAGCAGGCTCCGAGCCCCTCTCCATCGTGGCCTCGGCGATCCGGCCGCTGGGGACCCAGCCGGGGTTTATTCCCGTTCCAGGGGCTGGTGCTCACGTTCTCAGAGCGGCACAATTCCCATTGCAGCTCCTCCCCGTCGGGGACTCCGCCTACACCAGTGGCTTCTTAACTCACGGGTCCCCGCCCCACGGAGCCACGGCTGGGCCCTCTGTCGGGACCCACAGTCTGGCCCGGTCTCCTTGCTGTGGCTTCGACATCTTAGCCAGCTTCCTGAACCTACGGGGAGAGCCCAGGGAGGTGCTCCCTGCCCCGTGTCCAGTGGTGCCGTCTGGGCTGGCGTCCGGGAGTCATTTACTGCGAGGGGGTCACACGTGTGCACTGTGAGGGGGACATGTGTGTGCACTGTGAGGGGACACATGTGTGTGCACTGTGAGGGGGACACGTGTGTGCACTGTGAGGGCGTGTGTGTGCACAGGGTGTGGGCCCCACACTTACGTCCTGATTGGACAGCAGGCCCTGGGCACTGTGGAACGTGGCTTCCTCCTCGGCCACTGCTGTTTGCAGCAGCTCGTATGCGGCCAGGTGCTGCACGGTCACCTGCTGCTCCTCCTGCTCCAGCTGCGCACACAGCCTGCAGGGGACGGGGCGGCAGAGCTGGAGCCCCACACCTGGGGACAGGGCAGCAGAGCTGGAGCCCCACACCCGGGGACAGGGCCACAGAGCCGGCCAGAGCCCCATGCCTGGGGACAGGGCCACAGAGCTGGAGCCCCACGCCTGGGGACAGGGCCACAGAGCTGGAGCCCCACGCCTGGGGACAGGGCCACAGAGCTGGAGCCCCACACCCGGGGACAGGGCAGCAGAGCTGGAGCCCCACACCCGGGGACAGGGCAGCAGAGCTGGAGCCCCACGCCTGGGGACAGGGCCGCAGAGCTGGAGCCCCACACCCGGGGACAGGGCCGCAGAGCTGGAGCCCCACACCCGGGGACAGGGCGGCAGAGCCGGCCAGAGCCCCACACCCGGGGACAGGGCAGCAGAGCTGGAGCCCCACACCCGGGGACAGGGCAGCAGAGCTGGAGCCCCACGCCTGGGGACAGGGCCACAGAGCTGGAGCCCCACACCCAGGGACAGGGCCACAGAGCTGGAGCCCCGCACCCAGGGACAGGGCCACAGAGCTGGAGCCCCGCACCCAGGGACAGGGCCACAGAGCCGGCCAGAGCCCCACACCCGGGGACAGGGCCACAGAGCTGGAGCCCCACACCCGGGGACGGGGCCACAGAGCTGGAACCCCACACCCGGGGACAGGGCCACAGAGCTGGAGCCCCACACCCGGGGACGGGGCCACAGAGCTGGAGCCCCACACCCGGGGACAGGGCCGCAGAGCCAGCGGGAGCCCCGCGCCCCCAGGGCCAACAAGGCCACATGCAGAGCTCCGTCACTACTCACGCCTGTGGTCTCAGTGTGCTTAGGGCAAAGGTGACACCATGATGGGGACAGCACCAACCTTGTGCGCGCGGCCCTGCATGCCCACTGTGCCAGCTCCACCCTGGTCTCTGCAGTGCCCACCTGCACCTCTGTGGTGACTGACAGGCCAGGTGTGGCCTGGTGGGGCTGCCCAAGGCCTTCATGGGAGATGCCTGTCCCACTGAGGCACTGAGTGTGTGCAGATGTGTGTGCACCCGGGTGTGTGTGCACCCAGGCGTGTGGGTGCCCAGGCGTGTGTGTGCACCCAGGGGGTGGGTGCCCAGGTGTGTGTGAGCAGGTGTATATGTGCCCAGGCGTGTGGGTGCCCAGGCAGGCATGTGTGTGCCCAGGTGTGTGTGCCCAGGCATGTGGGTGCCCAGGTGTGTGTGCCCAGGCGTGTGGGTGCAGGCATATGGGTGCCTAGGCGTGTGGGTGCCCAGGCCGGGTCGGTGTGGCTGGCACAAAGCATGGTGCTTGCTGAGGCCTCGACAGTGCAGGACGGGTGGGCAGTGTGGCCCAGGGGTCAGAGCAGCCCCACCCCCGCCCACAGGGAGGGGCAGGGTTCACGGCAGTGTGAACCTGTGTGTGCATGGGTGTGGCTGACGCCTGTGGCTGGGGGCTCTGTGTGCAGGGCGGCGAGGGACGTGCAGGGGTCCACAGGGCTGAGCAGCACAACAGTGAGGCTCAGAGGAGCGGGGGCTGAAGGATCTCCTGGGCCTGGGCTCCAGGGGCCACCGTGGGCAAGCCAGGCGGGAGGGGGCTGGGAACCGCGGCGTGTGCGGCCTCGGAGGAAGCAGGGCGCCCGGCCACGCCGTGCGGGGCTGCGGGCCTCACCTCTTCACGCGTGCCCGCTCCAGCTGCACGTCGACCGCGCTCTCCCGGAAGCCGCAGCTGAGGAACCGCTCCTGTGCACGCAGCAGGCGGCCGTCCAGCTCTCGCAGCAGGGACACGTGCGGGGGCCCCTGCTCTGCCGACTCCTGGGCGTCCTGGACCTGAAGGCCCACAGCCCTGCCGGGCAGCCGATGCTCAGGGCCCGGGCCAGACGCCCTGGGCACGGCGACGCTCCCCGGGGCGCGCAGGGACGCTGGCAAACGCCACTGGGTCTCTGAGGAAGCCCTCCTGCGCTACACGCATGCAAGGTGCTCGCGGAGATCCACAGCCGCTGCCTGAACCACAGGCGGGAAACAAGGCCCACGGGAGGGGGGGTCGGGGGCCACAGGAGCCGTGGGTAGGCCGGCCTCGGGCCCTGTCCGCAGCATTGCACACAGAAGCCAAGGAGACACAAATCGCTGTGGCCGCGGTCACAAGCTGGGGATCCCAAAAGGCTGATGTGATGCAGCCTGCACACCCCGATCCGTGGACCACAGGGGCGCCCCAACTGGAGTCTCACGGGAGAACACTGGTGCGACCTCACACGTTCTAGGCTCTTTTAAGTGAAGCACACAGACCCGTGGGAGGAAGCCGGACCTTCAAGACTCACGAGGGTGGTATGCAGCCTGATCCCATGGCTCTGAGCCACACTGCACGGGCGTGTGGCCCATCACGTGGCTCCGAGATGCACAGGATGGGTGCGTGGCCCATCACGGGGCTCTGAGGCACACAGGACAGGTGTGTGCCCCACCATGTGGCTCTAAGACAGGACATGTGGGTGGCCCATCACGTGGCTCTGAGATGCACAGACATGAGTGGCCGCATCTCTCCGCCCTCTCTCAAGTCACAGTCATGGCCTCGGCTTGCAGCTCTGAGCTCCGCAGGGTGGAAATGTGGCATCAAAACTGAGCAGCGGCCAAGGTGAGGCGCCACGCTCCCAGAGGTAACAAGGTACCTGGCTTCCAGGTCTGTGGCGATGAACTCCAGGAGAGGCCTCCGGTTGGGCCTTTCTCTCTTGAGAACGTTGATGGTGTCCGCGAGCTTCTGAAACAGGTGGCAGACCTGACGGTGCCAGCGCTGACGTCACTGTGGTGCTCGGCGGCCCGAGGATGGCGCCCAGCCCCGCCCCACACGGCGCCCGCCGAGCCAGACCTTCCTCCCGCCATCCTCCGAGGCCAGGATGCTGTCCGCCAGGGCCAGGGTGGAACGGTACCAGAACTGCTCGTCCCCGCCCAGGCGCTGGGCCCTCTCGATCAGCCTCCTGGCCTGGCCGTGATTCTTCTCCTTGTTGGCCAGCTGCGCCAGGAGGAGCAGGCATCTGGCTTCTGCACCAGGGTCCCCAAGCTCCTGAAAGAGACCCTCGGACATAGGAGCGGGTCTGCAGGAGGGCAGGGCAGCGGCACGCGCAAACGACGCGGTAGGAGAGGCAGAGCCGAGGGCCAGTGGCGCTCTCCAGCCGCTGGGGATGAAGCCGGCAGCTGCCGCAGAGCGGGACCGTGTGGGTGCTGGGGGCCCCAACAACCGCCCTGGGATGCAGCTGTGGGCTGCAGGCCCCACGCCCTCCGCAGCTTATGTTCCACTCCGGGCCCCTCCTGCCCCCTCCCCATCCTGCTGCCCGGAGTCTGAAGGCCTCGCCTGTGTTCTGGAGACCCCTCTGCCACGATGTGGGTGACCCCACTTCACTTTCGCTCCCAGGACAGGCATGTGAGGGGACAGGGTTTGCCCCGGGAAGCCCCGTGGTGCCCATACGGGCAGCACAAACATCAGCTCCCTGAGCCTCGGTGGGGCTCTGGCCGGGCCCTGCCCTGTCCCCCATCTCTGCAGGGGCCCCTGTGTGGGGGCAAGGGGCTTTGGGCCAAGTCCACGCCCTGCACATTCCTGGGCACCCACAAAGGCTCAGACAGAGCTGGAGGCCGGGAGGCCCAGGTGCTCGCCTGGCGGAGGCGCAGGACGCCACGGGGCCCGCGCTGGCGGGGAGAGGGGTGAGCAGGTGCTTTGTGGAGGCCGAGGTGGCCAGGCTGAAGCTCCGGGGCTGGGGGCTGCCCTTCCAGGGTTGGGGGCAGGCGCAGCGGGGTTTAGGACACCATGTGCTGTGTCAGGCTTTATCAGCCAGGGAATGTGTCTCACCGGGTCCCGCACATGTGCCGGGAAGGGAGGAGACGCCGGCCGCGGGGAGAGGCACAGCCAGGCCGTGGAGTCCTGGGCATCACGGCAGGAAGCAGCCAGCCCCGCCCCCCACCTGTCAGGAGCAGTGTGCAGGGCCTTGGGTCCAGGGCAGCCTGGCCAGCAGCTGGGGGTGGTCTGCAGCGGCGGGAGGGGCAGGGTGAGCCAGGCTCCAGTGGGAGAGGAGAGGACAGGGCACCAGGGTCCAGCCTGGACCCCACGAGGGGCACAGCCACCTGCGGAGTGGATTGCGAGAGGCCACGCCCGAGGCGGCGTCTGCAGGTGAGGAACCCCTGGTCCCCCAGCGTGAGTGGAGACCTGGGAGAGGTGTGGACATGGGGTAGGTGGGCCGGGAGAAGGGCTGGGAGGACCTTAGATCAGGGAGCCCCAGAGCCTTCGGGGCACTGGGGATGGGCGGTCGCAGCTGGGTCAGTGAGGCCAAGGGGGGAGCAGAGAGGGAGAGGGGTGGCCTTAGGCTGGGGGGCCCAAGGCCCGACATACCTCCCTGTCTCAGGCCCTGCCTGTCTCAGGCCCTGCCGGGAATCAATGGCATCTGAACAAGGCCTGAGGCTTGGGCCCCAAGGGCATGGGGTGTGCGTGGGGGCCGGGGCAGGTCCCCTGAGAGCCTCGGGCCACCCTGGGCTGGCCTGGCTCACTTCCCAGCTGCAGCACTCACAGCTGCCTGCTCCCCCGCCTCATCCCACGCCAACCTCAGACCAGCTGAGGCCCAGGAGCTCCCGGCCCCTCCACGTCCCCTGCTCTCAGCAGACGCCGGCGATGCCGGCCACTGCCTGCCCAACGGACTAGTGAAGTTCAGGCTCCATCTCAGGCAGCGAGCACGGATGTGCAGGTGTCAGGACAGGCGTGTGCAGCGTCGGGCAGTGAGCACGGGTGTGCAGGTGTCAGCACAGGCGTGTGCAGCGTCGGGCAGTGAGCACGGGTGTGCAGGTGTCAGGACAGGCGTGTGCAGCATCGGGCAGCGAGCACGGGTGTGCAGGTGTCAGCACAGGCGTGTGCAGCGTCGGGCAGTGAGCACGGTTG